ATAGTTTTATGCTAGGGGCCCATATTGGGCCAAACTCATTCTGCGACATGGGAAAATGTTGGAAGAGTAGCTGAACACAATTTTAAACACAACAGAAGTAATCACACCTGAAGGCCTTGCCCATCTACAGTGACAGAATTTGCTCTCTGCATCTTGTTCCGATCACCTAGTTTGTTTGTTTGTTGGGAACCATCCTTTTCTTTTTTCATAGTTGCCTGGCGTTCCTAAAAGGGAGGTTGGAAGCAGCAGATTAGTGCATTATAGTATCTTACTATGGTGGAAATTGAAGACTCTCATTCTAGCTTTATACATTCAAATACCGCTTCAGTGATAATGGGTTCAGTGATTGCAATCAAATAATTAAATGAAGCCCAACTTCATATACATCTATTTATGTATCTAAACATAATAAATAGATAGGTGATATTGTATTTTGTCACAATAAGTGCTAATGCAATGGTATGAAGTTGGTAATAATCATGAGGTCATCTAAGCTGTATGGTTAAGCTTATCGAAAAAGGAGATTAATCAATCGCGTTTTGGCCCTAGTCTCTTAAAAAAAACAAAAACCCCTACTAAAAAGCGCAATTGTTTTTGCAATCTGCTTTACCCAAAATCTGAAGTTTCAAAAGGGTTTGTTACATTACAACCTCACTAATCTGAGTTAGCTACAACACAATCCTATATATGTCTACTCAGAAGTAAGTGCCATTGACCTCAATGGGACTTAGTCCTTGCTATGTGTGTATAGGATTTCAGCCCTAAAACCAAATTTGGACTATCTGGATAATACAAAGCTAAGACTGAATGCATGCAAAAAGCAGGAAAACCTTCTCCAAGTGGTGATTTTTTTAAAAAATTATTTCTTACATACATATGCTTTTAAGAAGCATTTTTCCAGGTGAAAATATGTCACCTCCTCAGCAACTGTGGATAAAGAGGCTTAGGAGAAAGGCAGTACACAGGAAAGGACATGGAATCATAGCTACACGGAACAAGCAGAAAAAGTGAATGAAATAATTATTTTAGGAATACATAACATTCACTTAATATCCACAGGAGAGAGGGAGATACGCTGCACACAATGCCAAGACTGAGGACTTGTTCCTGAAATATATTCACAGTCTTCCAGTGTTTACAGCCGCACAACTGGCAGGAAGGCAGGGAGCACTACTGAACCAAGCATGGAACCACAGTAAGGAAGTGTGCACCTCTGGAATTTCATTCCTCAGTTGCATAAGCCTAGCAAACTTAAAAAAATAAAAAATGTCTCCTATATTGCAGAGTCTACAGAGCTACCCAATATATCCCTTGGTTTTTCCTACCCCCTTGTGACCAATACATCCTGGTCTTCAGCAACATTTGAACAGATGGTGGTCCAGGCAGATTGGCAGCAGATCGGAGAACCAGATTTCACTTCCCCGAGTTTTCAAAGGCTTACGTTTGAAGCCTAGGTCCTATTCTCATAATGGCTGAAGGGATTTGGCAGACACAACAGGAGACAAGAATGCTGGGCATCAACTCGGCCGAAGCAACTCAAGACCAAGAGCACCTTTTCTGTCACCTCCCTTACAGTTCTTAATTCGGCAAACAGAAAAAAATAAATAGCCTAGTCAATATTCTGTGCCACTCAATCCCAGTCTCTCAATCCCAGTTAGACTTGAAAGCTTTTGCAGATCCTCTTTCACTATATAAAAGGTAAAGGCAAAGGACCCCTGGACAGTTAAGTCCAGTCAAAGGCGAGTATGGGGTTGTGGCGTTCACCTCGCTTTCAGGCTGAGGGAGCTGGCGTTTGTCCACAGACACCTTTCCGGGTCATGTGGCCAGCATGACTAAACCGCTTCTGGTGCAACGGGACACTGTGACAGAAGCTAGAGTGCATGGAAATGCTGTTTACTTTCCTGCCGCAGCAGTACCTATTTATCTACTTGCATTAGCGTGCTTTCAAACTGCTAGGCTGGCAGGAGCTGGGACAGTGCAACAGGAGCTCACTCCGTTGCGGGGATTTGAACTGCTGACCTTCCGATCATCAAGCCCAAGAAGCTCAGTGGTTTAGACCACAGCGCCACCCGCATCCCTCCTTTCACTATATATATATATATATCCTAAAGGAAGCAGTGACAATTCAAGAGGATAGCTAACTGCTCCAATGAGGAGAGCAGGCGAATCCAATATGCTGTCCTGCAGAAACTGCTGCATGCAAACTCAAGTAAGTCAAAGCTAGCCTGACGTATGGTCAGGTATGATGGAAGTTGAGAGTCCAACGACATCTAGAGGGCACCATGTTGGTGACCCCTGCTCTACTAATTAAACACCTCTACTTTGTGCTGCTAGAAATATTCCTACAGGCACATTCACGAGGAAAGTATGCAGGTGTAGGCAGTAATGCTACTGGCTTCTTGTTGTCGTTGTTAAGTGAAACTAAATTAATTGTGCAGCTGTTATGCTTTATAGTAACAAAACACATATAAACACAGAAAAAATGCAGACTGCCAGAAATAATATTCGTAATTGTCGTGATCAATTTACAGCTTTTAAAAGGGGGACGGGGGGGTGGGAGGGGAGAGATAGAAAAAGAACTAATGTTGCAAAGTAAGGAACACTGACAGATTTTTTCTGCTGCTGCTGCTGCTGCAGTGAGAAAGAAAAGAACCAAGGCTGGTGATAAAATTGAAAAATAATAATAAATAGTAATATATAGATCATATTGAGGCGCCCCAGAATCCATGCAGACCTAGATAAACATCCAAAAAAGGTATGTCATCTCTTGCTTTGTTGTCTTTTAAAATAGTAGGCTGTGACATTTTTTATTCACCTATGGCGGTCGCTTCATAAATTCACTTTAAGTTGGGCCCCTATTATGTTAAAGGGAAATCAGGTGTGCCTGCTAACAAGAAGCGCTATCTGCAATTATGCGCTTTGCTGCCCCTTTATTCCAATGTTCAGAAACTACAAATGAAGCACAGAACAAATTACAAATAGAGAAATCAAAGGCATCTAAAACCTCAGGAGAATATTATATTCCTTCTAAATGTAACACAGAGGACAGATCTTTTTTACATACATGTGTATAGCATTCTGACTGATAATTCAAAATATTCACTTTATTTTTTTCATGCAGTGGGTACCTTAAGTGTTTATGATTTAACAAGCTAACTTAATTTAACGTGCAATGCAATCCTTTGCATGTTTACTTGGAAGTAAACTCCTCTGTGTTCAATGGGGCTTCCTCCCCAATAAATGCATTCAGGATTGCAGCCTAAGGTAGATTTGTTCTGAAGCCAATTTTCAGTTACTAGGTTTTTGGCCACTGAAATATATCTTTAAGGAAAATATGTATTCAGGTTCTTTATTGTATATAATTTTATTGTTTCTTAACTTTTGTAAGCTGTCTTGGGAGGGTATATTTTTTAAATAAAATCTGTTTCTTATCTCTCCCAAGAATCAAATCAAGATCACTACAGAATCCAAAAGGTAAAGCAATACCTAGCACATTCCTATTCAAAAATGTCTTAGAAAAATGTTTAGAATGGGGTTAGAATGGGCATCACCCTTAACATTATCACATCTCCAGCACTGCATATCTTCCTAATTTTCCTAGGGTTATTATGCTTTACAATGGGTGTCAACTATTTTATAAAAGGTGACATTTTCAAATCAGTTTTCAAATACAAAATACAATGTTTATTCCTCCTCATTGAACTCCTAGATAATTGTTTCAATTTTCCATATAACTTGCATAATTGCTGGCTGGCTAAATCCTTATCTGTTTCTCCTAGGTTATTTCTACCTGTAGATTCTTTTCATCTCTATAGAAGGGATGATGTAAACATTGCCTAAATAAAGGGTTTTTGTTTCTCTTTTACAGTTAGAATTCTTCAGTAGTACTACAGGACTGAAATATTAAAACCTTAAAATAAGGAGATCAAACCACATTTGGCATGTCCTTCAAAAAACAACAGCTATGTAAAATCTCAGGGCGATTGTGCGATATTCTTATATAAAAATGGAGGGGAAGCTGACACTTATTGAAAATAAATGACACTGCAAAATGCAGATATTTATTTTCTGGGTAGCATATATGTTCTAGTTATGACTATTTTATTAGGGTATACAAAATGATTGATGCGGCTGTAATCATTTTGTCTCATGGACACAGGCAATGCTGAGTGAAAGTTACTCAATAAAACACTAATGCACATTTTGACGGCTTGCAACGTGAAAGTATTCTGTTTTCTCCATGAACTTCTAGACTAGAAAAAAAATCCAAAAAGTATTGCAACAGGACATTGGATTCCTGATTGTAACCCTTAGAGGCTGATTAGGTAGCAATATCCTATTCCTGTTATTCTATATAGTGTTACAGATTAAGAGAATGCACCAGTGCAACTTCTCTTTGCTTTGGATCCTTCCATTCACAAGTCCAATCACTGTTGATCTTCTACCCATGGGCATACAATGGACTTTGATGCAGACAAGGAAAGGCCTTGTGGGAACTATAAAAACATACAGTGAGTTGCTCCAGGTCTTCCCCGGTTTGCACACTGACATTACAACACAAAGATTCTATTGTGCCATTATACCGGATCTCTATTTTATGTTGTTCATGTTCAAGGAGCAGAGGTTGTTCAGCCCTCTTACTGCAATAACAATGTTTTGTTCATATAGTTAAGGCAGAAGAATCAGATGATGCTCTTCCAAAGTGATGTTTAGCTGATGGTGTAAACTTCTAGTGAATTTTGTTCAGGAAGACTGCATACGTCATCTCTGCTGCCTAAAAAAAATCCATTTCACACAGACATGAGGGAAAATCTGTTTCTGCCACTCTCCTCCACCATATTATCTAAACATCACCATTTCAACTTCTCTAAAAGCCACAGGAACATTTGTGATGCAACTCATAAAGTCCCAGAAATGAGAACAAAGGTCCTCTATAAAATGCTGAAGGCAAAGTTCTGAAGAACAGGATCTTCATGCACCTATTAGCTATCAATAGCTCAGCCTGGACAGCTCAGTTGGTTAGAGTATGGTGCTGATAACGCCAAGGTTGCAGGTTCAATCCCTGTATGGGACAGCTGCATATTCCTACATCACAGGGGGTTGGACAAGATGATCCTCAGAGTCCCTTCCAACTCTATGATTCTAGGAAATTGCCTAGAGATAGAGCAGAGCTCCACCCAAACCAGAATCCACATTGGAACTACGATTATTGGTTGAAATTGAATTCATTGAGTAGATCCAGGGCATGCTTCATGCACCAGGACCTAAACCAGTTTCAGAAACGTATGAGGCATAGCACAACCAAGTGAGTTGCTATGTCATGCTGTACCCATATCTCATGTTCAGTATTCACAAGGCAAGGCCTAATATGGTTGGAGGACATTATTGTGGCAGCTCAAGCTCTACCCTAGTCTGTGAAGAGCCTCTGGAGTACCAAAAAGACCACCCACTAGGCATGCCAAAGGCCTCAGAATAGATATGGAACAGTCCAAAGTGGTTCAAAGGATCACACTTGTTCACACCTTGTCTGCTGTGAAGGCTCCATCACGCTCAGAGAATGTCAGTATTGCTACTCTGTTGTCTCCAAGCATGGGCAGAGACCTGTCTCTGCACACGCCAATAGTAGATATAGCAGAAGTCATTACGGATATCACACTCTACTTGAGCTTCGGTGGAACAGAATGGATTCCTTGCCAAAACTGTACAAAGCAGACCTTACTGGCTTGCTTATCCCTGTTAACAACCCTGGACGACCTTTAAAACTTCAACAGTTCCAGTCTAATCTCAACTGTGAGTAATTTAGGAGCACTCTAGGGAGTCTATCCTTTGATAAAAGAGTCTTCTTTTAATATGTAATGTGCAGGTCTTCTGCTTTTTGGAGTGCTGCAAGAAATACAGACTGTCATAACTACTATGCCAGCCCCAAAATGTACTTTATGGCAGGAAGTCAAAACACCAAACAACTTTTATTTGCATCTGTGAACACTTTTATATTACGCACCTCAGGAAGCGAAACTCCTAAAGGAGGTAGAGTCTGTTGGAGAAAAACAGTTTCAGCTACAATATTAATATTAATTAAAGACAATTCCTGCAAAGAAAATTTGAATGTGTGGCCATTTTGTTGAGCTAGTAAAGCAGTTTCCATTACAAGTCAAGTCATTACAGGAAAGTAATGTGGATGTATTGTGTTTATATAAAATTTTTCACAAATAAGATAATTAACAAAAGCAAAATCTTAAAAGCAATAAAAAAAATCACCATACAGATCAGCATAAAGCAAAAACTCATCATAAAATGGCTTTCAGAACAAAAATATTTTCACTGCTCACTTGAAAATGGGAAGAGACGGTGGTCGGCAGATATCCCCAGATAGAAAGGTTGGTATCAGACAACTGAGGATGGTTTGGTCAGTCTATTTCCAGTCTGTTTTGGCTTTGCATAGGTTCATGTATAAGTCCTTCACATCCTCTTACTACATTAATCTATTTTTATTCATCCTGAGACCTCCAGGCATATGGCGGTATATAAATTCAATAAACAATAATAATCCATACAAAAATGTATGTGTAAATCAAGTCAATCCATACTGAAACTCGCAAACAAATGAATTCCTCAAGCATCGCTACCAGTAACTGAATCCTTGCTAGTGACTAGCCAGAGGGCATCTCAAACTGATCATAGGGCTCAGTAAGGTTTTCATGGACAGAATTGGTCCTGGTTTACACTAATACTTTAAATTTAACATTGAACAAGTTGTGTTTGAATACCCTGTGTATAAAATGCATTTCTTCATAAGGGATAGTAACACTGCTTCCATTAAAGCAATTATACCAAGCCTCAAGAGTGATTAGCCACTTCCAAGATTCAAGCACAATGATTCCCTCCTGTACCTTTCATTGAACAGAAGGTCAAGGGTCAAGGGTGCTCCTATATTATTTCAGGCTTTCAAACAATCTGTCCACATCCTCAGGTAGTATAAGCTAAAGCATATTCCTAACAAGTGACAAGACTCTATTTTTACAGTTCCTTATGGACTCTTATAACTTCCCATTCTTCTTTCAACCTTGTGCAACACAGCCCACGACCCTTTGCTTCCTTTTTATTCTTTCCAAATAGTGTTCTGTCGTCAGAGGTACATCTAGGAAATTTTAGACTCTAGGCCCCAGTAGAACCCAGTATGCCCACATGGCTTCAGCTGCTGACACTGAACCTGCTTGCCTCATCATATCTGGCTTCAGGGTAGTCATTGGGGGCCCTAGACTTTGGCCCCAAAGCATAGCCCTAGCTACATCACTGACTGCTGTACATAATTATTAGGAACTTTTCAATTCACTACATTGTTGTGTAATGTGAAAGTTCTGGAGAACCTAAGAGTAAGAGTTAGCAAACATGATGATTCATGAACCTGCATATCCACTTCTATCAAACTGCATTTGTTAAGGTAAAGGCTCACCATCCTCAAACACGAATCATCATGGAAGTTATTTATGAGGTGCTATCATATCTGCTTAAGCTGGAAAGAGCTACTAGAAGACTCAGGACCAGCAAGGAGCCATGCCCTTTACTTCACCCATGGTACTCACAGAAGTTTGTGTGACCAAACCACAGGGAATACAAGTTCCCACATCTCTTCGGTGACTTATGAATCAGCCCTCACCTCAGTGCCTCACAGCAGTTTACACTTCTACCATCGAGTCAGTGCCCTGACAACATACCAGATACATGTACAGCACAGATCATTGTATCACAATCTCTGTCAAAGTGTTGGTTCCCTTTTGCCCAGGACACTTGATGCTTACAGAGTTGACAACCCTAGGTAAAATTCAGGATGAGTGAATAGTGCCAGCTACAATTTATCATCCTCTTCATTCCCAACACGGAGCTGAGAGGAGCTTGAACAATGGTAGTTAATTGAAAAATGCATCTTCCTCTGGGGGGCAGTTATTAATTTCAATCTGACATGAAGAAGAAACAAAAAAATAGTTCTTGCTGTAGATAAGAACACTCTTATACTTCAGTTTTTGCTTGGAAAGGAACTATGGGCACCATGGGATGAAGGAGAAAGGGATTTTGTGTCTGGTTTCAATCTTGCATTCATTGTGTGTTGTGCAACACTACAACTGTATATTTAGTCTGCTTAGATAGAGGTTGAGTCCTCAAAGTGAACTCTTTTCAGCGCAGAGACAATGTTTCACAGCAAATGGTGTGTGTTTTAAATGCTCTATCTATCCATCTATCTGTCTATCTAGTAAACTCACAACTTACATTTAACTTGTACATATTCAGCTTTATGTGCTTGGCAAATTTGAAAAGGAGGTAGGTCTCTAGGGAAAATTAGTTTTGCAATCCCACCTGCTATTGCACCCCATGTGTTCTGACTATATGAGATTTTGGCTTTAGGTGCAATCCTAAATTGTGGGCTTCCAAAAACAAAAAAACAAAAAACCCTAACTTTTAAAATATTTAATTGATAGTAAATAAACAAAAAACCATGGATGGTGTACTGCTCAATTCTCCAGTAATCAGGAGTAACAGTTGTCCTATTATTACAGTATTATTTGCAGGTGGAGAGAGAGAGAGATTCACATCTTTGTTGTTTGTTAAATGGACATCTGCCATTTATAATACAGAGCAGGAAAGTATTAGTAATCTGTTACTGATTCTATTCACAAAATAGTACTGTTACAAACTGGTAAAAAGTTGAGAAAGTATGTATCTAAATACTGCAACTGCATGCATTTATGTTGCATATGCAGAATTATATAAAATAAGCCATAGTAAGGGCAGAGATATTTTTTCTTCTTGCATACAACCACCTCATGCCAATACTCTGCTTCTAACCTTGTTATAATCTAATTCTATTGTAATACAAAAGCTAGGATTAAATTGAGTTAAAGGTTTCCTTAAACTCACTGCCCGTCAACCTCATCATGAACTTTCATTATGTGCATGCAATTAATTGGATCCAATGAACAATTTCAGAACTGAGTTATAGTCTCCCCCATACCATATAATTAGAATATAATTACCCACAGGATATCAGAAGGATGCAAAACCTTTCTTTTAACTGCACCCTCATTAGGAAACAAATCTCAGTGTACATTTATTTGATCAGTGTGAATTAATTAACATGTTACAGAAATAAGAGGGCAGCTATAAACTGATTCTGGCATCTATTAAGACTACCATGAGATCTACATGCACAGATTGTAACTGAAATCATTTAATTTCAGTCACAAAGATCACCATAAAATATATCAATGCACACAGGTACAGAGTTCCTCTTGAATAACGTCTGCAAAGGTAAAAAGTTTTCCTGTTTTAGTATTCCTTGAATAGCTCTTCTGGAAGACTCAGAAGTATTACTTTGTTTTGGATGGTTGGAGTGAAAATGAGAACAATGAACAAGGCTAAGATGTACTCCAGATTTATTAAACTTTATTTTATATGAAGACCACAACATTCTGGATAAGACAGGAATGTCAAGAAAAGAGAAATATCAAAATTCCTGGACTATATCTTCACTCCATGCTCCAAAAAGCAATAGAAATTGGAGATCACGCAGACTAAAAGTTAAACACTGTTCATAAACATGACCAATGGACATATAATAAAATAAAATGCAGCAATAAGAAACCTAAAATGCTGTATGTAAAATGAAAATCCAAATACACAAAAATAAGATGCATTAGTAACTGGCCACACAATAACTGCCAGGAAGTATAAAAAAATTTCCATGGGCTCAGGAGCTTTAGAGAACAATGATTTCCAAGACTTCTTAGGCCTGGAATACCGCTGTTGCAGCATTTTCTTTGAGAAAGAGAGGAAGGAGACAGGGAGAGAGGCAAACTTAGGCAGACAGATAGACAAACACCTTACTGATGCCATTCACCTCCCAACAAGAGTACATTTTGGAGAAGGAAGAGAGTGGCAGGAAAAAAGGAGGGCTGACCAGTGTCAAGGACAGGCAGGGATCCGAAGAGTCTGTGGCAAAGGCAGGGGACCCGGGAGAGGGGACCAGTGATTTATGGGGGTGTCACACAACCTGCAAGGCAAGAGCTGGGGAAGGAGGAA